GTACCATACCATGCCACTTTATTTCTAAAACACTTAACATACAGCATAGCAGCTGACTGAAGTGCTGTACAAAAATATAAAAATAAAACAACAAGACAATTATAAGAAAATAGAACCCAAAATATTACAGATATAAGGAAAGAGTACAACTTTAGGACACAGAGGCTAGCTCACTCTGGGTTAAAAGCCAAAGAGAAAAATGTGTTTGTAAACTAGTTTTAAAAACAGAAAGAGATAAGTAATAAAGTCTTTCACTATAAAGTTATAATCAGTTTAGTAAACAATAATTTATGCACACTCAGAATATGACTGAGAAAATACTTTTCAAATTTTGTTGTATAAACCTGAGTCGTGATTTATAAAAGATCACTTTGCCTTTTTAGACTGAATTCCAGTGTTGAGAGGGGAAGTGTTTATGGTTGGTAGAGTTGTTGCTGTTTCTTTGTAGCGRCTCTCTGGCCCTCTGGTGTTATATCTGTGTGCTCCACTACAAGACGAGACACTCACGGTAGTACAGCTTCAATCGGTCTTGTACTGAACTACTTCTGTACCAAACTGTGATGAAGTGGGTCAGGATACTCTCAGTTGTGCATCTGTAGAAGTTCTTATAGATAAGGCATCTCAAATCTACTGTATCTTTTTTAAGAAATACACATTTCCTAAATCTCAAAGATAATGCCTAGAAATTTGAATYTATCTACACTCTCCATTCTAATCTCTCTGATATGACCACTTTGTAAAACATTAGATATGTCTCTACGGCTGGATGATATGGCTAAAATTTTTATTATGATATAGCTCTTAATTTCAGTTAATATGGTATAATTTTGATATTTGATATGAATAGTTAACAAAACTACCTAGAAAACCAATATTTTCTGTTCCTACATATTTGATCTAATTTAAGATGTCTTTAACTGGAACTGACTAGTCAGAACAAGAAGGAGGGTTCTTAAATTTACTTTATGACTAGTCACAATTAAATTGTTGATATCTGAAATACATGTTTCAGAAAGTCATTTAAATACAATATTTTGAATTTAAGCCTCCTTCCAAACAACTTATTGGTAACTCTGATGTATTGAAAAAGTTCAACATTTTCATATACAAATAGCTGAAATAGTTAAGTAAAAAAAAACTTACCGAAAAAAAAAACTATAAAGAGTGAAACAGCAGAATAAATGCTGACTCAGCACTTGGACAAACAACAATTTTGTCTGTTTTGTGGTGGAAAAATGTGTTATGCTAACTTTGACTGCTTAATACGCTAGTCAGTTG